TTTTTTTTAATAAAAATCGGGGTGCTACCGTTAGACAATGCTTTTGCTAATATTTAGTAAGAGTTTCATGTATCATTAAATTACCATTTACTCTCTTTTCCAGAAATAATTTACCTGATGTATTGGTAAAGCAGATGGCATTCTACCAGAAAAACAACCACTGCATAACTACATAAAAACATCCTTTATAAAAAAAATATAACAACATTTTGTATGATTACTGCTATTAGATGAGTGTTTCTGGTTGTAATAAACTGAGCTGACTTTTTTTTTTTTGCCTGTTTTTCCTGAAAATGGCATTTCGATTTAATTTTTCTATTGAAGAAAATGAAAACTATGCACCAGACACTCACGATAAGATAGAGTCACAGCTGGGCTCTCCAGAGCACAGGCAGGAATCCACAGAAGGAAGCAGGCAAGCTGCTGGTCCTGCAGCAGGCTGCAGCCCAAGGCTGGCTACTGATAAGCCCCAAGATGAGACACCGTCAAAGAAACCGTTCCGCCTCAAAGCTGCCAAAGAACACGATATTCCTGAAGACATCAACAAAGTACTGGAAAATAAAGTTGTGGAAATGGTATCAGGCCTATATCACGTCAATATGTCTGTAGTGGAAATGACGCTTTTGGATGGCTCCCGCGGAGAAGACATCGTGTCTAAAAGCGTTTCGTCTCACTCTGATCTCATCCCAGGAGTCTATGAGGGAGGGCTGAAAATCTGGGAATGCACCTTTGATCTCATAGATTACTTTTCTGAGACTGAAATGCAGTTTACCAACAAGACGGTGCTGGATCTTGGGTGTGGGGCTGGACTGCTGGGTATAGTTGCATTGAGGGGAAAAGCTGAAAAAGTCCATTTTCAGGACTACAACAGCACAGTGATTGACGAAATAACCTTGCCTAACACAGTGGCTAACTGTATAGATGATGGCAATGGGACTGGCTGTAGAGATGACAGAAAAACAAGTAAGCCTCCTTCAAAGAAGTTCAAGAAAACAAAGCGCTTACCTGATCTGCTCACCAAATGCAGATTTTTTTCTGGAGAATGGTCTGAAGTCAGCCAGCTCCTGTTAAACAGCAACAAACCCTTTTCAAAGTATGATCTCATTCTCACATCTGAGACCATCTATAACCCTGATTACTACAGTGCTTTACATGATACACTGTCTCAGTTGTTGGATAAAAAAGGCCATGTGTATTTGGCAAGCAAAGCACATTATTTTGGGGTTGGTGGCGGTGTGCACCTCTTTGAGAAATTCATTGAGGAGAGGAATGTGTTCAGGACCAATACAGTTAAAATAATCGATAAAGGACTGAAGCGGTTTATTATTGAAATGGCCTTTAAAAATTCCAGTTAAAATTCAGCCATTGGTGCTTGAAAAATATCTTAATAAAGACACGATGTTTGAATCACCTCTTTGCTTTCTTCGTTGAGATTATTCTAAATTGACAAGTTGATGCACTTTACTAGAGACTGAACTGTTTGATAAATTCTGATGTGTGACTGGAAGTGAAGGACTGTTCTCATTCTGCTTTTGCACAAAAAAAAGGAGTACTGCTTATACCAGTATTTATTTAGGCAAATTTTAATTGTCATTTATATAGATATTTGAAAACAAAGCGAGTCACTGGCCCCAATCCCCCTCTCACATTCTTTGGCAGTGCCAAAGTGCAGAAGTGGCTGCTGAGTGCAGCTTGAAGGAGGTGATTTAGCATCCTAATATAGCGCCGAAAGTAGTTTTCAAGGCTTAGGCTCCGAAATCGGGTATGATTCAACTGCAGCAACAAATTTCAGAATCAATTGCATACCTGCGTGCTCTGCTGTTTTGCCACCAGAGGGGGATGTGATTGTATTTATCACGTGGACTGCATTCTGGTAACCAAATCTCACAAATTATAGTTTTTCCATATATAATGGGTAAGTGACTTATTCAAGCATTAGAAAAACTGTACCACAGTATATTTAATACTGTTTGTGAATTTTCATGTTTTCACATTCATATCATCACTAACAAAAACTCAGTAAGTTACTGATGGGGGGAAGCCTTAGTGCTCTCAGAAACCAATAAAACAGATTTCCTTCTGTTTTAGTAACAGAGTTTATAAGATTGTACACAAGAGAAGTTATTTAAAGCAAACAAGAAAAATCCCACAAAACACACTCCAGGAAATGGGAGGATGACAGAAAGCTGAGCTTTAGGTTGCAAACGGGAAAGGAGATAAACTGGACTATTATAGGAGAGGCCTAGAGTGGTGTAATTCTTTTTTGACAAGATCTTTCCACATAGTAACTGCATGTATGCAATGACCCATTTTCAGAACTTGCTTTTTTGCAATATTGTAACTCCAGACAGTAGTGCTTCTGGGGGTACTGCTGAACACTATAACTCTCTAGTCTTAAGCAGTTTGGCAGAGCAGCAAGCTTTCAAAAAAGCTTGTGTACAAGTCATTCCTCTGTGCTCCAGGCTGAAGATCGTGACAGTGAGACGAGACTGTGTTACTGCACAAATTGCCCTATCCAAAAAATGCAAACAAAATCAAAAGCTACAAGACCTGGTTCTCCGTGCTTGGTATCACAATTCATAAGAAATCCATTGTATGTTTTGTCTTAACTATAAGACGAAAAGCTATAGTCAAAAAGCTACTTAACAAGTCTACCAGGTACATCAAAGCTATCACTTATCAGCATGCACCACTTCACTGCAGCAATAATGCACTGGTGTACCCTCGCAATAGTAGATAGTCAGCCCCTACAGTAAATCTGGATAAAAGGATACTTAATAAACCTATGGGAGAAATGACAACAATCTGAGGAGGTGGAAAGAAGCTAATTAAAACAGCAACCTAAGTCACTGTTACTACTATGTAAAGTAAGTTCCAGTCATTCAAGTCCCTGAAAGTCAACCAGCTGCCATTAAAATGGAATCAAAGAGGATTTTCCATACTTCACAGAAGAGCCTTAACTACTGTTGTTTCAAAAACAAATCCAAGTGGGCTATTTTAAATGGATGTTTCAGAAACTACTGAAGTTGCTCTTTTATAAGAGAGGGGAAAAAGCCAGTCAGCCTGGCTGTAGCTGTGCTTTGGAACTCTTGCATCAACCTTGAAACCAACTGACGACTGCCACCTTATCGGAGGTTGACATATATTAACTGCAGACTGGAGAACAATGGAAAGTTTTAGCTTTTGCAGGTCTTTGAAGCACTATTAACAGTTCTTTTTTTCAAAACTGGGAACTTGGAAACAAAGTGACCACCGTTTGCCATTTTCAAACTGTCCGGAGACAAATCATTGCTTGCATGTAGTGACTGAATAGCTTGTTCTAGACCCTGCTAAGTCTAGTGCTGTTTCAGAGGATTGCACCAAAGTAGTAAGAAATGCTGACCACTATGATGATAGTGAATATGGTAAAGAACAAGAATCTCAGTATTCCTTGATGAAGTAAATAAAAAAGGCACTTACAATCTTATATTATGCTTCCTCTTGAGAATATTCCACTATCAAACTCACCGTCTTGGGTTTCATATGCCCATTCTTTTGCTCAGCATCCTCATTTTATTCTTAGATTGCTTGACAAACATAGCTGAGTGTTCATTTGAATACAGAATCAGATTTTTTTAGGACTTTCAAGTGAAGGCTGCCAGAGCCACAATCATGCAGTGATGACACAACACCTGCAAAACATGAAAACCCAACGCAGTACAATTAAGTTCCCGTTTTAGAACTAAAGATAATCAATGCAGGATGTTTTTGTCATGGGAATTCAGCAAAACTAGCACTGGGATTTCCCTAAGTGCAGTTGAGTTCTATTCAATTTTTAGAAGCCCGTGGATATACACAGAGGAAGCAGAATTCAATAATTCGTTTTATAGGCTCGCTGTTCTGTTTATATTTAAAGATAAGTACTGGTCTCCCTTTTCTGCAACCAACATTAAAGCTTTCTCTACTTGCCAAATCATCCCAACCCTAGTGACTAGTTTCTGCTTCTTTTCTGGAAGCATAATAATCTGGAATAACAATCTTTCACTTACCCACTTGTAATACTTTCATATCTTAATTGCATTTCTCCTGAATGACATCACACTACTAAAAACAGAACTGAGAGGTGCCTCAAAGTCTCTTTCGGATGACATGACAAACCCATTACACGAGGCCCAATGTCTTGTATGAGGAAACATAGAAGTCAGCTGACAATTCAATTTATCTACTCATTGTCTAAGTCATCTCCCCTTTTCTCTCCCTCTTCCATCCCCATACTTCTTGGGAGTGTCATTACAATAAGAAATCCAGTCTAAATTATGTCTTTCCCGTAAGTACTATGGAGAGAAACATTAAAACAAGTCATCAAATGTCTCAGGAAACTAAACTGAAGAGCTTGTTTATTTTAACAGGCACTATCCTTAACTGATGACTTTCCTTCAAAGACTATTTGCCAGTTATGGGAAATGAGGCCATTAAAAAAAGAAATCAGTTGTGTATACTGGCACCAGCTAAATGGCATCTGTTACAGTTATTTCACTAAAGCTTATGGGAAAAACACCCACAAGGAAATTAGAAAACTGTAGTTCCACGGAAAGTGTGCAATTTGCAAGTTATTGACTTGCCTGCTATTCTTGGTCACTAGGTACATTGGCATACAATCATGTTCTGATATCAAAACCTTAAGAAGAATCAAACCAGCAATCAACGTATTCAAGGCATCAGTGATTAAAAAAAAAAATCAAAAGAAATATACGTAAAGGTGACAATGACTAATCAGCGCAGTGAGGCAGTAACAGCAAGATTTTTTATGATAGAAAGTGGACTAAAGCCACTCAAATTCCACACTTTTTGTACTGTCAATTACACACATTTTGAAAAGAAAAAGCTGCTAGATACTACCGGAGACTGAAAGGTAAGTGTATTAGGAATCACAGCAAATAATTAGGATTTATAGACAAATACCTCTTAAAGACTGCAAGTTAACAATGTAAGCCTAAGAACAAAAGGTACTGCCTTGAAATATGGAACAGCATTCAAGAGAAGATTGTCATGAAACAAGAAAATTGTAGCAAGCAACTTCACAGCAAATGAAGGGCAATATTCTGCCACAACAGAAGGAAGCAGGTGCAATAAGATAATTTAGACCCTGCCTGAGGAAGATCAGTGCAGCCCTGGAAAAAAGAAAAAAGCATAACAAACTTAACTCATGCGGAATGAAAGAAGTCCAGAGGAATGAGAATGAAATAAGTATTGTCAGAATTAGACAACATCACCTACCAGTCTGTTTTATTGATCCTGTTGTAAAGACTAGGCAAAGATTCATGATCACTATTTTGATCTGGAACACAAATACCGACTTTTCAAAACCACTGAGGAAACGGAAGATTTAGATGATGAACGGAGTCAAACCTCCCAATTTTTGTAAACGTGGATGAGATAAAGATGAGAAGACTAAACAGTAAAGAAAATTTAAAAAAAATCAAATTCAAAAAGAAATCACGGCAACAGTTTTGGTCCTACGGCACTTAATTTGATGGCAAAATATCCCAGGATATGAGTGAGACAGGATCAGATGAAAGCAGAAAGTGGAAGAAAGATGACAAGGGAGTCTAACTAGATGGAATGTCAAAAAGTAGCAGGAAAAAGGCTTAGAACTGCAGATTCTTCACAAAGAAATGATCTGAAAAATAAGAGATAATCTGGTGATTACCAGCAGTAATATAAATTAGAGACCAATTACTCCAGATTTATGAGAACATACACACAGAAGACTCGCATTCCATTTTATTTATAGAAGTACAGCTCACAGAAAGTTTCCAGTGCTGAACTTCTGGTCCAAGTTCAGATTTCTTAAGCAGTCAATTTATTTCTTGTCATCTGACCATGTAATTTCATAATCTGTATACACTTTCTTCAGTATTTCTACAGTCACTGAGTGATCTGCTTTACCATAGCCCTGCAAGAAAGAACAAGCATTTATGAGAAGAATACAAAAAGTAAGTCCATAGAACTATCAAGCTCTTGCCAATACAAACTATCCGATTATATGGTCTACTACTTCCAGTAGTTCACATACAAATCAGAAATACAGGTTCTACAGAGTTACTCTTGCATTATTAGGTTTTATTTTTTATTGCCCTCTCCCATTTCTCCTCCGATTTGTAGAAAATACATAAGATAGGGTCAAACAATCTCAAGAAATAGAGGACGCAGTTTCATGTTGTGACTTCCGCATCAGAAACTTTGCTTTAAGATGTTCCCAGTCCCTCAGCCACCACTTTTATTGAATGTTTTTCTAAACCACAGAGATGGCACCGATCCAGTTTCATGTATGGGCATACATCTAATCTGGCTCAGCTGGAGGAAAAGGAACAAGAAGCCATATGCATGCACATGTGAGAACTATTCTGGCCAAAGAAATCACACTTGTGTTTTATTCAGTTGCCGTCTTCCTT